AGACCCATTTTTTCGAGGCTCTTAGAAAACTTGCTCAAAATCCCGGAAAAACCACTTTTGTAACCAAAAGCAATACAGATTCTGGAAGTAGACACTTCAGGCTATCTTTTCATGTGCGTATCTCAAAGCCGATTTTTTGACCGAAAATCACCATTTCTGAGGGGGAGGGCCCTTAACTTCTTGGTATGATATAGTTCACCTTGATTACATCATGTTCCTGAAGAGAAAACTGGATAAAACATGATGAAATCGGTGTTTCAAACGAAGCTCTTCAGAGAGACTTTTTTTCAACCAAAAAGTTGTGTTTTTTAGTATTTTGGATTCGAGAAATTACTAGATTTCTTGAGCTATGGGACATAATCTATTGCGTTTCTTGAACTCAAGATCTCGATCATTCAACAAAAAAGCTGGTCTTTCAAGACCACCTTTTTGATAAGCAGAATGACCGCAGAAAAAAACTTCAACTTCGTGACAGTAGGACCATAACAAATAAGAAGTATCTCTTTCTTTTCCATTTTTAACAAATGTTAAGACAAGCAGTATATGTATAACTCAAGCTGAATGTTTCTTGCTCATTTTTTAATTTGTTCACTTTTTATCTATTTTTATTCCAAGTAAAAAAATAAATCTTGCCGTTAAAAGAAAATTTTATCTAGTCAGAAACGTAAAAAAGTTTAAGACTTCCACATTGGAATTCTGTAAAACATACGGTCAAAGTCAATCTCATATATGTGCATGTTGGTGCCAATGGAAGATGTTGACTTTGATGGTATTGTTTGTGGGATTCCACCCTGGCAGTCTTAAACTTTTTTACATTTCTAATTAGACAAAAATCTCTTGAATTTAACGACAAGATTTGTTTTTAATTTGAATAAAAAATAACCCAGAAACATCGAACTCGAGTTTTACATGTATCGATTGTCGATCAGACACTTGTTAACATTTGTCATGAAAGAAGAAGATAGACGTTTCTTATTTGAGACAGTTGTGATACAAATGAAGACTAACTAAACTAGTTGAAGTTAGAATTCTGAACTAAACTGGATGAGATCGGAATTCTAATATGAACTGACAAGCTGTGCTGGATGAGTTTAGAACTTAAATCGCACAGGAGGAAGGAAAAAAGAAAAAGAAAGTAAAATATTTTTCTTCTAGTGATATATTAACTGTACAGCATAGTATTTATTATTTTTTGCACAAAGCATATCGTGTGATATCAAACGCTTCTTTAATTTCGATTTATTTTGCATAATGCAAGACTTTTATAATTAACTTGAGGCTTATGTTTTGACTCTTCATCCAAATAAACGTGCAAAGTATACCATAAAACGCACAATACACGATCAAATATTACAGGTGTTGAAAGTCGATGATTATAAAGCATCTAATGCAGGATTTAAATTTTACCTTTTATAAAACCATTAGCAGCCAGAAGATCACACCGTTTGAATAGTAACCGTCAGAATGCAGGTTGAGACACCGACAGTATCGAAAGAACATGCCACATACTGTTGTATCTTGTCAAACAGTTACTACTTTCAAACGAGCATTATGCGCTCACCTATCCATATAAGTGTGTTGTTTTTTGTTATCGGTTTTTCTTCTATACTCTCTTCTCGCGGTTGTTCTATTTTCCGCGTGGTAGCAGTGTATTTACAAGTCTTTGATTTTTTTGTGTTTTTCTTTGTTACGAGATGTTTTCTTGGGCATAAAATAAACTTTCAAGTTCAAGCTCAAGGTTTTGGGCGACCACCTGGTTAGTGATTACTACATCAGCCTTCAATAATCATTATTTGTAACCACCTTTCAGCTAAAATATATAAGAAAATATGGAATCGATAATGCTGATTCCGAATATAGTAGTGGAAGAAAAACTCTAGTACTAAAAAAATAAGCGAAAAGGAAAGGGATACAGACACAGTGGGTCTGACGTCTACAATTGTATACCGTGAGAACCCACAGTGGAGAAGTTGAGTCCATAAAACGTCGATACGCAGATGAGATTTTTGCACCGTACATCATAACTCGTCGCACTGATTCTGAATATGTAAATATCACAATACTGACTTCTCTAGAAATATTCTGTCAAGTTTTGATATGCAGAGTCCGTTATTAGATATTATCAACAGTTCTAAATTATAGAAGTCTATCGGATCTTGCAGCCAAGAAGTTTTCTCAAGATGCAACAAAAGTTGGCTGACGAGTTATAAGATAGAAGAGATAATAACTAATATGGATCGTACCCCCACTTCAAATACTAGTTTTAGCTGCAAAATTCCGACAGCCAACAAAGCTGGAAAACATGCATAATCTAAAGGTTTTAGAGGTCAAATGTTGAAAAGTTTACGTAAAAGATGGCGCGGTCGACGTTCTAATAGGGCTTTTACAGAAATGTCCTATGGCTACCCCTGTGTTCTGGGAAAGTCTTCACCAAGATTGAATAGGTCTGATTTCGTTAAAAAGATTCGATAGTGTCTTGATATTTTTGATTGGAAACTGGATTCAACTATTTACATTGTTTCTGAAATTGTTCAAAAGATAATGACAATCTATTCCAGTTATCTATCTTATTGAAAGAACAATTAAAATATTTTGCAATCTGAGATAAGATTAGTGGGCAGTCGTTCCAGGAGTGTAATCGGTATCAAAAATGCGATACCGGTACCGGTTATCGGTATACAAACTTCGTACCGGTACCGGTCGGTATACCTGTGACCGGTTTATCGACCGGTACCGACTTGTTTTAACCATATTTTGCCTAAATAAAAATACTTTTTTCTTCTTTTTCTTTAAGTGAACTTTATTTTATGTTATCAAAGAGATAGATTAATCTTTTCACTTTGATTATGTATGTATAGCTGATTTTTCACACGTTTTTGTTTTACGAAAACAGCAGTCCAATTCAATCTTCTAAATTAAGAAGTTTATCTAAGCCGAGAAAGCTTTAGTAATTGGAATGAAATTTTAGTGGAAGAAATATGTCACAGCTGAACTGAATTTACACGATGTTTTTTGAAAAAAAGCGTATCATACCGCAAAACACCAGCAATATCGGCCGACTGACACTAATACCGGTATACCGGTCGGCGTTATAATTCGCATCGGTATCGGTTGCACCTCTGAGTCGTTCTTAGCCAAGCGGATTCGTTTACAGTGATGATAAGTTAAATTCTATGATCGAGTTTGATTTCAAATGTTTAACAATCGAGTACACCTCAACAAATGGTATTAGTGATACCACATTAAGACTAATGAATAAATAAGTTCAACATAAATGGTAATCCAATAAATTATGAAACGATACGCTTAGTAATAAAAATATTAAATGACTTAGTTCAATGTTGTTTCTCTCCATTAAAATCAGGAGTAACCTTTTATTTATGTAATACTCTAAATGAAAATTGTTATTTAATGTACATTTCACTAGATGAAATAGTAAACTTCATGCTAGATACACACTGTCCGTTTATTAAATCAAATGATTATTTCCAAAATCATGTAGCAAATACAATACTAAAATATTAATATGGATACAGCTCAACAGTTTGAATAAAAATGAACAATAAGAAAGAAAATGTAATTTAGATTATATATCAGTCAAAATCGAGTAATTCAAAATTTAGTAAACTGTGAAAGTCGATATTGTAATTAATTCAATAAGTATTGCATATCAGATTGCATCTGTTGTAATGGAAATGTTTATTAATTTAGACCCTTTTTCCGGTTTCACTGTTTAAATCACAGAGTTTTTATTTCTTCATCAAAACTTTTCCACCATACGAGGTTTGCCACATACAAATTATCTGCTAATTGTATAAACATACAACGTGATATACAAACTTTCAACAATACAACAATAAGTTTATTTCGCGTGCGCTTCGATGCTGGTGAGAACAAAGACAGATGAAGTTTGATGTTATCTCTTGATTGTTAATAAACATTCTCATTTAAATAATGTTCGAAATTAAACAGATGATCATAACAGGTTACATGACATGTATTACAATGATAATTTTTTAAAGTAGCAGACTCTTATAAGAAAGGAGAAAACGTTCTGTTCTTAATTAGTTTTTGTTTGTTACCATCAGCTTATGAATTACAAATTCGTTAGAACAGCTTTTCTTCAAAGTCAAACTTTGTGTATCGAACATCATTTCTTGAGAGAACTGAAAAAATCAGTAGAAATTATGAGAAGAAGGAGGCGAACCCATTACATCTTAACATAAATTGACTGAGGACAGAGGACAGAGGACAGCACTAGAATACATGTATAGAAACAATACACGGCGACAACATTTAAGAGAGAAAGTAATGACAACAACAAAAATAATAATAAGAAAAAAAGAAACAGAGAATAACTAATGAACGAAAGGGAGAGAAGGATATCGGGAAATTAGAACCTTTGTGTGTCGCGAATAAATGTAATTACGATATTATATAGTTCATTCATTTCTGTAACGTTTAAAGATGGTGCAGGTTTTAAAAAGAGTATGTGTTCGAGAGTGAGGGGATCGTTTACTAGAGCATTCAAGTCATTTCAAAGATAGTTCGTCTCTGCTGGTAATATTGACACTCCAGAAAGAAATGCTGTGCTGTTTCAGCCTTCCCACAAGCACACTGAGAGCTACTAACTAAGTTTTTGAAATTCGTTCTCTGAATAATAGAGAATAAGACTCAGATCTAACTGGAAGGGATGTTTTCCAACAGTTTTGGGAAAGTTTTCCACATTTTCTAAGCAATTTTTCGTAGAGAAAACCCATTTTCAAAGTCTTTCCAACGAAAACACACAAGTTCAATCCTCTAAAATCTCTTTAAACTGCTAAAAATTATCGTAAAACTGTCAAAACTCATCAAAATCTTTTGAAATTCATTAGCACCTCAGAATCAGATGTTCCTACCTTGAGTTCTTTCAAACAACTGCAAAGAAAGCATGCTCCACTGTTCAAAACTGATAAAAAATGTTTCTAGAAACACTTGTGGAAGAAACATAGTTGAGAGCGAGAGCGAGAGAGAGCTGAGTGTAAGCTGAGATTGAATACATGCTCTAAAACTGAAGTCTTTACACTGAAAGTTCATTGGATATTGGAAAGATCATCACGGGATATTGGAGCATCGTCGACCAGCTCTACTTCGACTTGTGCAGATAGAGAGTATTTGTGTCTCAGACGTTTCTTACTGCTACTCTCAGGTGCTTCTAGAATTACTAACTCTCCTCGAAAACTCTTCAGAATCTATTGAAATCCATTAGCAAATCAGAATCAGATGTTTCTTTTCTGAGTTTTTTCAAAATATCGCCAAGAAAGCGTGCTCCACTGTTCAGAACTGATTAAAGATGCTTCTAAATACTTGTGTCTATAGTGGAGAGAGAGAGTTGAGTGTAAGCTGGGGATGGATAGATGCTCTAACGCTGGAGAACTTACTGAAAGATCATTTAAAAGTGTTTTCTCTTCTAACGCCGACCCACCGAACTTTGGAAAGACGTGACTACCCAACGGGTGACCCGGTTATTTTTTCTCACTCTTAAGTTCGGTGAGTCAGCATTGAGAATTTGAAAATCTTTTCTTTCTGTCTCTCCTCCAGCATCCCGAATCCTGCCTCTGGGTTGGGTACGGAATACTGGAGCATCGTCGGCAAGTTTTAGCTCCTCTTCTGCAGATATAGAGTATTTGCGCCTCAGACGTTTCTTACTACTCCTCTCAACTGCTTCTAGAATTAACTTAATAACTCGCCTCTTCATTTTAGGTGTTCACTGTGGAATACATCCGGCGCTCTTACCTGAGACAGTTTTCTCGTCCGAGACAATTCAATTGGAAACAAAGTTGTACCAAGGTCCGTTACATGGCGGTAGCTATTTTTTACAAGCTAAATTTGCACACGGCCTCAATGAATCAACAATTTGGTCAATTAATGTCTTAGCTGAAGACAATGGAAAGAATTTTATTCCAATCAGCTATGCAGCAAGTTTACCACCTGCTCTTTCCATACTTTCTACTGTAGTGAGGGCTATATTCATATTATGAAACCAGATGATGATGGTAAAGAGGGTACAGGTGGTAATGTTCTGCGTCGGTATCGAGTTGCAATAACATATCAAAAACAGGAACAATAATAGCAACAACGGCGACAACAACACCACACCCATTACCAGAAGTCGGTTTTAAAATATAAGCTGATTTGATAGGAACTCGTACTTTTTTCGAAAACAATTAGCTTTTTTCTTCATTTTTTAGGCAATAAAAGGTGAAGTAAACCTTGATAGCAGCAACTCGAGTCCTTTCCTCGAAGATTGCAACTGTGAAAGAAAGTGAGACAAGCTATAATTTCTTTTCGAACAAATAGAAAAGTGGCTTGGCTACTTCGGAAACAACAAGAAATTTTTAGCAGAGACTAACAATCAGTCTAGGTTTATTAAGCTTTTAGAAGTAAGTGACAAAAATCAAGGAGATGCGGCCATACTTTACAGTTTTTCACATTAGATTTCAATTTTTTCGTAAAATCGCATGCCCGTCGGCTCCCCCGGAAAGAGGCGTCAAATCCCCTTTCGAACAATCATTGTGATCATACTAAAGGGCTTCGGCCATGATCTCCGTTGCTCAAATCTATATGTTTCCCTTTTCAGAGCTATCTGACATCNTCTCTGCGAGGAAATTTCTAATGAAAGAGTCATTCAGAATACTACACTCTATTATTCTGAAATGGTTAGCAGTGAACAAATGACAAGATTATTAATTTTTAGATAGATTACCTCTTATAACCTGATATTAAGCTTTTAGAAGTAAGTGACAAAAATCAAGGAGATGCGGCCATACTTTACAGTTTTTCACATTAGATTTCAATTTTTTCGTAAAATCGCATGCCCGTCGGCTCCCCCGGAAAGAGGCGTCAAATCCCCTTTCGAACAATCATTGTGATCATACTAAAGGGCTTCGGCCATGATCTCCGTTGCTCAAATCTATATGTTTCCCTTTTCAGAGCTATCTGACATCTTGCCGCGACTCTCATCATACAATAACGTCATAGTATCCAACACAATCTGAGACAAACTTTTCCATATACATCTCTATCTGTATGGAAGATGGGAACTATAGTCGGATTCATATAACATCCCAGGCCTTGCTTATGGCGTTGCCTTCACCCGTCCTGCTGTAAAATATGAACCTGCACAATGCAAATATTTGAGTATTAATTACCAAAGTTTTGCATTTTGCATTTAAAAAGGCAAAAAAAAATACATCTTTTATTTTCAAAATGCCAAACAGGACTTTTCGTGATGCAAATTCATGTGTTTTTGAATTCTGAAATGCACAAGTAGTTTTTTTTGTATTTCAGAATGCAAAGTGCCAGAAAAAGTCGAAATTGCAGGTTGCAGTTTTCTATAAAGAAGATGCCACAAGTGCATCTTGGTCCTTATCTGAAAAAGTTCTAAGATACAGAAAATTCTCGAGGAGTTTAAAAGCAATTTTAGAAATTTTCCGCATGTTTCGAAATTTCCAAGGCTGAAAATTTTGCTTTGTACGGTGACGGATAAAGATGTCGATCACGTAGCTGATTTTTATTCACAAAGCTAATAAGCAAATAACACAGTTTATGATTCTGTTATGGGACCATTATATAGTCCACTAGCTATGAAGATTTCGTCTACAGTTATATAAAGACACCCACCAATAATGAAATCATTTCGTCTTATATTAAAATAAAGGAAAACTAAACAAAGAGAACAAATGTAGAATGCGCTGTTAAATGCCTGCTCTTATCGTGTACCCAGCGACATTGTTTTTGGTGATAAATCCATTTATTCTCAGTCGTTTCTGAAACTTCATCCATAGTCTCGTGCTTTTCATTTGATTCTATGATGATTTTAATTCATTGATCACCATCTCCATTTGTAAAATAATAATCATAACGAAGACATTAGAGACCAGTAGAAACTTCTTCATTCGACTTTAGAAGATAGCTTACATCAGTCGGTTTCCATTGTCCAAATTCATGTACACCATATCGATTCAATTATAAAAACTTTCTTCAGCAAGGCCTATTATCGCATATCTCACATGTATAGATTAACTCACTCTTGAACCACAGCACATGGGCTCAAAACGCAGATAACATTATTCATACGCAAAATCAGTATATTCATGAGTTATTATAATCGAAAGATGATAGCATTATCCATGAACTTTGTAAGGATATGCGCAAAACAATACAATAGCTTTTGTTATGCTAGAATGAAGTACTAGTATTACTCGACTGGTTTTTCTTCATTGAACAAGCTGATAAAATGAAGCGCGATGATATTTGAAAATCGTAGTTAAGTTTTGCTTCACATAGTAATATGTAACTCTGTTCCATATTTGAAAGTGTGTGCAATGATTTCAGTCAAGGTCAGCTATTTATTATTTTAATTTGAAAAGGCTATATTTTGCTGTTTTTTGTTATAAACTTTCATACAATTACAATTATAATTACAATACAAAAGTCTGGAGAATAAAAGGACAGATGCCTATTTTCACGGGGATTATATTTTTCTCTTCCTTTTTTAAGTTTGCTTTTCATTTTTGTATCCGATTCAAACATATATTTGATATTTTTGTAAGATCGAATCTAAGTTGCTGCATTGTGCACGATGATATTCCTTAGTCTATTGGCATCGGTGCTCCTTTGCGCCTTTACGGATTCAAGTTCGACAGGTTCGTAAAACAAGATGATTTTCAAGCCGTTGATTAAATTGCACACCGACAGATAAATAGTTTTGTTTTAACAATTTATTTCATTCCGTTCTTTTGCTAATGAAAAGTGCAGTCTGCTTGTTATATGATTTATAGTCGTCTTGAGATATGAGAGAAGCTTAAAAGCTATCAAAATTTCAAAGAAGCTTGATAATATACCGTCCACTAGAACAATTCGTCAGACTAGCATAGTTTAAGCTAATTTGTACGAGTATTGCACCTGCAACGTCTATATGGAACTTACGTGATTAAGCCGAAATTTTTGTACTAGATTAGACTTCAAGAGGTAGAAAGCAGGCTGGCTTTCCCCGTTCATAAACGGTTGTCTGTTAATTAAGGACTGTGAAAAGTGAAAATGAAGTAATTGATGAAATTTGTTCTGCAGAGCATTTAGTCTCATGTTATTCTAGAAAATCGTGCTATAAATATATTCAATGTTTGTTATGGTGAACATGGCTGCTATACCACTAATCCGCCATTTGGTTAGCATTTGCACTCCCTAATAGATTTTCATGCCTTTAACCTCTGTCATTTGTTTTAACAGGTGGAACGTGGGAGCGACCAGTTGCTGTATTACCAGATTCGGTCAATAAAGCAATTTTTTGCTATTCTATGTGTCTAATTTAATTTTTGCATTTTTAGCCTGATGTAGTGGGCACACGTTTCTTTCTTTATTCAAGGTAATTCCACATATATCAGACTCATTTTCATTCTTCTCTAATTTCATCTCAAATTGAGATCGAATCGAAACGTACAAATAGAAATTAAACGTGGTTCACTCAAACTATGGGATCCTTCTAAACGGACAAAATTTGTCATCCATGGTATGATCGAAAATTATAATGCGACATGGTATGAGGATCTAAGAAATGTTTGGTTAGATGTTGTGAGTAGAGTAGAGGACATTATTAATTGAATTGTTCGACAACATCTATATCGATAATAGGAAGACTGTAATTTAATATTCGTTGACTGGTCAAATACAAACAAATTTCCGTATACGAAAGCTACGGCTAATACACAAATTGTCGGTACTGAGGTTGCACTTCTAGTAAATTATATCATCGAACAACATGATATAAAAGCCAAAGATATTCACATTGTCGGTCATAGTTTGGGTGCCCATGCAGCGGGAACGGCTGGATCAAAAATAGCCGGTTTAGGAAGAATAACAGGTATGCATAAATATTGTAGTGAGAGCAGTATTATAAAGTGAGAAAAATTTATTTAGGTCTGGATCCGGCTGGTCCGTACTTTGAGAATACTGATCCTCGTGTGCGTTTGGATTCAACCGATGCGTTGTTCGTCGATGTTATTCATACTGATGGACAAGCACATGTTCAATTAGGATTAGGTAAATTCACTAAATCATTTGTCGGAGTTCTACAATATTTCGTCATAACAGGTTTGATACAGCCCATTGGACATGTTGATTTTTATCCAAATGGTGGAAAGGAACAGCCAAAATGTCCTCGAATGACAGGAAAAATTTGGCAAACAATTTTAAATGCATTCAATACCGAAGGTATGAAGATGAAGAATTATACTCCCGCTTTCAACTGATCCATTGCAATTTAGGTTTCGTTCGCACGACCCTTTGCAGCCATCTGTTTTCCGTTTACACGTTCACTGACTCGATTCGAAACCAATGTTCGTACAATTCATATCCATGTTCGAGCTACGAAAATTTTCTATCTGGCGAGTGTTCATTAGCATGTCTCAATGGCAAATGTAACAGAATGGGCTATTATGCGTCTCCAACGGCTGAGCAAGGTCAGCTGTATCTTTCTACGCAAGATGCAGATAAATATCCATACTGTCGTAAGTTTTCTATCGTATATTCAATCTCATCCTTCCTAATCCATTTTTAGAACATCAATATCAGATAACCGTTAAATCGGGCAGTGAGTTTACTCAAACACTTGGAAAAGTGACAATTACATTGAATGGAAGTTTAAGATCTATCAGTCTTGTCTTCGATGAGTACGTTGTCAAGTTTATTGAATGTTATTACCATTAAACATTGTTTTAGTAATAAAACAGTATTTTTACGCAATACGAACAAGACTCGTCTGTTTCCAATCAGCGAAGATATTGGCAAAATGCAGTCAGTTTTTGTTCAATTTAAACGCACCGACAACTGGTTAATAGCACCCCTGTACTCAGACGAATGGAATTTTGAGAGAATGACTATTTTCAATGAAGACAAACAAGACAAGTATATTTCGAATCAGGGAAGGATTAATAAATTTAAATTTCATTGTCTTTGTCTGTTTTAGTTTGACGTACTGTCCGAGTGAACCCAAAATTGAGTCGAATAAGGCAATCAAATATAATATCTGTTGAGTGCGATCAGCATAAGTAAATGTACCATTTCAAATAAAAATGTTTATCGCTTATCAATATTAAATTTTCTGTCACAGACAGTCGAAATCGATGTAAAAAAATATATTCTGCTTGGCAATGAAAGAAGAAAAGTTTTTTCAAGAGCAGGATTTTACCTGAACAGAGTGATTCTCTGCGAGGAAATTTCTAATGAAAGAGTCATTCAGAATACTACACTCTATTATTCTGAAATGGTTAGCAGTGAACAAATGACAAGATTATTAATTTTTAGATAGATTACCTCTTATAACCTGATAGATGACCTCTTATAACACCGCTTCTTCGGGTTTGTAGACCTCAGGTATGTATCATCCATATATCATCCATCCTGTTTTTTGTTATAAACTTTCATACAATTAGAATTATAATTACAATACAAAAGTCTGGAGGATAAAAGGACAGATCCCTATTTTCACGGGGATTATATTTTTCTCTTCCTTTTTTAAGTTTGCTTTTCATTTTTGTATCCGATTCAAACATATATTTGATATTTTTGTAAGATCGAATCTAAGTTGCTGCATTGTGTATTCATTCTCAACCGAACAAGGTCAGCGGGGCGAACCCCATTATCGACCTTCAAAAAAGTTCACAGTTGCAATCTTCGAGGAAAGGACTCGAGTTGCTAAATCAAGCTTTTCTTCACCTTTTATTACCTAGAAAAAATGATGAAAAAAGCTAATTATGTTCGAAAAAAAATACGAGTTTCCGTTAAAACGAAAGGAAGAATCAATCAAAAGCAAAAATGATGTTTTTAATGGCATCATAAGTGTAAGAGCTTAGTATTGGTAAAAAAATGTAATTGTGGAGTCTATTTATTTTAATTTGGTCCATGATATTTATTTTGATGATTATTCTGCGTAGTAATAAATAATGAACAGTTTATTCTTTAGATTTATAACCGTACTTTAAAAATTTGGATTTATACCAATAATTTAAATACAATTCAATTAAATGCTGATCAATAGCTGGACAAAGTTTGAAATTATTGGTTTTTTCTACGATTTTTTGGGTTTCATATTGAGCTAATTTATTTGATTGACCATTTAAATAATATTTCTCAAAAAATGATGCCAACTTCAACAATGGATTATGCTTGCCAGTTAGTATATTATCAAAAAATTCTTTTATTGGCACAATCTCAAACTGTAGTCCAGCCTGTTTAAGGTTTACTAAGAATTCGTTCCAACTAATTACATTTGGATTCAGTAAATGATGTACATTATTATTTATATTATAATCTTGTAATACAATATCAACAACGTATGCACTATCAGTATCGACTGGTATGCAGCTGATTAATCCACCAGTATTTGGTATTTTTCCCAATTGTCCCCCGCCAGCACAAATCATTAATGATATCACCTTCTATATACGAATTTGTATTTCACTGGACTAAACAGTGGACTGAGTACATTCGATTGTGGTTTACGTATTGTAATAACCACTACTCAATATACATCGGAGAATTTATCTATATAAATGAAAAGAAGGACATAGCATCTTTAATGGAATCATTAGAAGATTTGATCAATACTGTTTACGCTAACTACCACTAGTAGGTTACACTTAAATTAAAGCTATTTTTTTAGAAATCATTATTAAAATGAAGTCAAACCAAAAACAAAAAAGAAGGATGTGGCAAAAAGTCTTGAAAACTATAGAAACTTTAAGTTCCAGAAGTAGGGATAGAAGTTTGGGAACTAAACAAGGGCCTAGAATGGTCAGAATTAATGCATGGTCATCAAAGAAAGATTTATCAGCGGATAGAAAACTCAGCTCTTCCTTCAGGTTATTTTTACTCCAACTGGTGCTTTTTCTCTGGCATGTTGCATTTACTTTAGATCGCTAAAATTTAAATATGTCATGATAGGATGCACAATTGGACTCTCATGCTGTCTTGCAGCATTAATTTCCATTTTAGCTATTTGGTTAACACAGAGTAACTAAGAGTATGTCGTTTTGTCGTCATAGAGATATCTGAATGAGAAAAATACCAAAAATTGCGTTTTTATATAATTTTTCTTAAAAAGTCAGAACACTGAAGGAAACTCTTCTTGCTCCAAAAGATGTTCAAATTGGTGATTAGCATTTGTAAAAGCAGTTTGAACTTTTCATCTATTGAAAAGACAAAGTTATAACAAACACGGTTTTACTGGAAAGTCTTTCGGAAGCCTCTATGCGGTCATTTTGAAAAGTTCTTAAGATGATTTTTGTAATCACCGTGATAAGTTCTACTAGTCCTGAAAGCGCCATGCGGTTGGTAGAAAGTCGATGTAAATGTGGTACATTCTCCAAACAATAACCCAATATTAATCAAATTATATACACATTTATGCTTATCGTTGGTCAACTAAGTACACCACGCGATAGTAAATAATCTGAAGTTCAGTTTCTGTTAATCAGTGTAAATCAACCGAGAAGTGGTAATACATACTCGGTCACAGCCGTAGGAAATGGTATAACGAATACTATATCTGGACATTTCTAGGCTAACCCAATTTAAAAAGATGTTCATAAGAGAAAATTATGGTTTTACCTGACTAAATAGCTTGTTCGGCTAACGGTCAACCAGCATGATTGAAGTTGAGCACTGAAATTGTCGGAGAGAAAACAATCTTACTCACTTAAAGTTTTTATGTCCATTTTTGTATATTCTGCGTCGATCTATCTAATTTCTTTTTTATAGTTACGAGAAGAAAGGGTAGTTACCAGTAAAAATTCAGCATTTTTTGTGCAAAAATGGCTTGAAAAAGTTCTTTTGTGTCTTATTGTATTTCTAACACTATTTTACCGCAGACAATAATGGAAACATTAATAACATAAAAATAGTAGTAGCAGTTTGAAGTACACAAATGAACATGATTACTTTGATGTTCTAAACCGATATAGGAAACAATGTTATCGTGCGTTGAAGCGATTCACGTTGCCTTTTGTTTCACTGGATTAGACTGAGGTTGCTTCAACGATCTACGATCGTGACTAGGGCGGTGCTAGAAGTCGTCACGTACAACTAGAACTGAAGATTCAAGCTGGTGTTCGGCCTTGCAAAAGCTGGAATCAAAGTCGTGTAGAAAAAGCGGCTCATGTGGCTAATCGGTTTTATAAATATTTCGTTTTAGTCCGATCCGAAAACTTTGCAGCGTGAAATAAAACAAGAATCTTTGAATGTTTATCATTCAAGCGCATCATTGTTAAGGATCTGGGGCTATCTTAAATTAGCTTCGACTCGTAATATGGCTCAGACTTCAAAAAAGCTATGGACTGAAACGAAGAGAAAATGAACAATATTCCTTAAGGGAGTGTGAATCTGCTTGCGAGCCGACATAGAAAGTCAGCACTGTATTCGGGCACTGTCGATTTCTGTACTTATTGATCTGATAGGCGAAGAAGTTTCGAACGAGTACCTTATATATAACAACAACAGTGAAGACGTGCCGTCACGAAGGAGTCAGCCCGCCGAAGACGAACCGATTTTCGGAGGGTTGTTCAAAAGTTTCACACTCCGCTGGAGAGAACGACAAATTTTCCCGGATTGAGGAAGGGTGACCGCCCACCCCAGCTCGCGACAGCACTGAGTGAAGTGCTCATTGTATAACTTAATTTGCCTTTTTTACGGCAACTACTTTTCTGTATGTCAAACGTTTGAACCCAAGTTGAGCTCCTTGATGAAGAAGATTTTGGTTTTTTTAATAGGACCAAATAAACTGCGAAGCTGTCTTCTGGAAAGCACAAAGTTCCGCTAGAGCCCGGGTCGGATGGTGTTCTAATCCGACATAGTCCCTTCTATTAAACGGAAAAAAGTCTAATGCCTAGAGAGTTGATGATATCATGTCCCATAGCAACCATATTTTGGAGCCCCTTCCTCGTGCCAAGACTTCAGAGCAACTGTATTTAACTGAATAAATGTGCAACGATTGGGTATAGCTCGAAAAAAGAACTCAATAGATAGTTATTTTTTCATGAATAAATGTATACGCCTCATTCCTAACTGTTCCTGGAGAACAAAATTGATCCTATTCGAAACATAGTGCATAGGATCTATCTTGTGCTTCTTCTGATCCTCAAAAAGAAGTGTGCATAATTATTTTGACGTGAAAATCAATCAATTCCTTCTTCTAATTTCTCCCTTACGTTAATCAAATCTCGCTTCACCAAAACAGAACCATTCCTTCTTTTTCTTACACAGAGTTATTTATTCGCCGTTCCATATATTTGTCTCTGCTATGACTTTTTGTGAATTATTTTCAAATTCAAAGTTGGATATTACAGTATGTTCCAAATCGAATTAGACGGCTCTTTCGATCTGCTAGAACACAGGACTGTTTCAAGAAAAGATCGAAAAAGATGTGACTAATAGAGTTGTAGATAACCACATATATCCAGAAAAATCCTGGATCCACCACTGATGTCGAGAACATCTTGGACGACTTCTCAAAATCACGCCGAAAACTGGGCTTTGTTTTCTAAGCATTTCTCATAGTTGTTTATTGGTGGGATATGAAACATATTAAATGTCATGAAACAAATGCAAATTATGAAAATAGAACAGACCGTTTTTGTAAACAAAAATTGATAACGAAATAAATTTTTTGTCCATTCTGGCTTATCTTTTATAGAGGGTTACTACCTTAAATTCCGCGTGTACCTTCGAAAAATCCTGCATCCGCCCCTGTTTCAAATATATAGAACAAAATGAAGCTGAAAAAAACAAAAGAACATCAGAACTATAGAAATTAACACACCAATAATATCTATTCATTACTCTTAGGAGTCATTGCACGATAAAGACGACCCAAACGTGGATGACGTGTTCAATTGATGTCACAGATTTTGATGAAATTTTGCCAGTATGTAACCCTCAGTGAGTTATGAAAACGCCAAAAATTCACCTTCTGAAACCTTTCCCTTGTTGAGATATTCAAACTGTAACAGAGGCTCCCAAGCGTGAAAAGTGAGATGATGAAATTACCGCCAGGCTCCGGAAAACTGCTTGTATTCTTGTTCCAATTTGTCGATAAGTTTGCTCATCTGAAAGAAGTACGTACGCAGAACGACAAAACTCGATAATCTCCCGTTTATCGCCATATGTCATGTCGAGAAGAGTATCTGCAAGAATTTGAGCATACATAAAAGATGCCTCTTGTCCATTTTGTTGCCCGTGAGGGGATGCGCCCGCGATTTTTCCAACAATTTCAAATCCGATCAAATCTTGTTGGAACTGTCGGATATCTTTGCGAATCTTGAGAATGTTTTGCAAAAACGATCTCGGTAATGAACTTTGGAGATACTCTATAGTTACATACCACGAGTAGTAAAAAGTTGGTTTCTTGATGAAAATCTGGTGGCTGTTTAAATTTCGTTAAATGTTCTATAGATCGATCTGGACATTGAGAATTATATTTGCATGGTATAAGAAAGTAGGATAGACCATTATGTCGATATGAACGACGATATTCGGGATCCCATAACTCGTACAATTCATCACTCCATATTCGCATGCATCAATAGCTTCTATTGAATATGTATAACGACGTATATGCTCACTTTTATTTATATCACGACATAAATCTAACCATTGACATGGATGTTAATAACATTCATTATGTTCAATAGCTCCATTATCGTCCAGAGAACAGCCTGAACCATCTCTACATTGTTGATGGTTCAGTTCGATGAATTGTTAGACCATGCATTATTATTATTAGAATTTCGTGTGGTACTATGAAAATAGAATTTCAAAAGTTTGAAATCTTTTCTACATATTTGATCAATTGTTGAGATGCAAAAAATGAATATTGGTGTGAATTTTCAAGTTTTCAAAGATACAAATTTTGAAAAACAAATACAGCACTGAGTCGTGTGCAGTGTTTTATCCACTGGGTTATCCCTCTCGCAACGAGGCTCCATGGTTACCGCTCGTCAAACATACGATTTAAGCGTTCCACTTTACTGGAAATACGCGGTCACTGTCCACTCACCATACCCAGAAGAAAAATCTTGGATAAATCACTGGTTTTCTTATATGTTTTTAGCCGATATTCTATGATCCGATGCTATTTGTTTTACAATTTCTGCTCCGACGGAATGTCTCAGTTCAAATATATCTATTAACTGGAAATTCCTTGGCGAATCTACACCGAGTGGCGGCGCGACCAGGTGTATGGGGTTCCCCACTCATGCTTTTGAGAAATTTCTGATGAACGTCTCTGATTTTCGGACCTTCCTGCCCAAACTTCGCGCCACCACTGTCTCTACCTAAATCAAAATCCTTGCTGGCATAGGCAGAATTGTGATCTAAAGTAGAAACTGTCACAGTTGATTTAAGCGTAATATGAGTGTCTTTATATGACGCTCTTATACCTGCACTGCTTGCAAAACAAAAAAATGAATAAGTATTTATTCTAGAAATTCCTGGACGAATTTCCACTTTATAGATCGCCGAGGATTTTCTGGTTTATAGAAAATCAAAATCGAATTTCCAGATTCTTGGAAATTATTTATAGAAAATCCTTAGCGATTCTCCACTTTTATAGAAAATCGAATTTATGGAAATTCAAGTCGATCTTCTATGAACTAGAAAAGCAACATTTCCTAGAAAGTTGGAAATTTGTCGAGGAATTTCTATAAACTAGAAAATCTCCGGCGATTTTCTATAAACTGGAAATTAATTCAAGGTTACAGTGTACGTCTCAAAAGAGATACTTTTTTTTGCAAACTCACACTCAGTTTTGTATGTCCCCCTTGATGTTGTTTGATCTTGCAAAGTCAATTAGGACAACTTTGTATCTCTTTTGAGAAGTTTCGTAAATTGACCATGTATTGTCAGCGAAAGCCGATCAGACACGACCATCAAACTCAAAAAAATTAAATAATGTTAAGAAATGCGCAGTTTTCTGTCTAAACTCGTTTTAGCTTTGTGTTTTGGACATGAGCATAAACGTTACAAAAGCGATAGGGTACAGTTACCTAAACATTATTCAGTATAGCTAACTGTGCAAAACAAGTTGAAAATTATACGCGATCGATACAAGAACCTATTTCAGGAGTCTGCTTCATTTCAGTTTTGTGAAAAGCTCTAAATATATAAAGGATGTTATGAACACTCCATGTATTTTTAATTAATTTTCAATTAATAATTGTAGCATAACTGTAAAATAATTCTTTCATAATGTGCATCATTATAATAAGATTATAATGATCGGCACAGTGGCGTTCATCCCTCCGTCAAAGTTTGAGACAATTAGCCACTTAACGTTTTGCAATCCCTTGTTCCATTCAAATTGCGCCCCACTTCTGAAATTTTTAACAATTATGAGCCGACTGTTGAAGTAAAACTCAACGTTACAATAATTCACAATGCTTAAAATCTTAGATCGATAAGTTAAGTTCTCTTTCTTCCTTTCATACCTCCTAAAAAGTTTTTATTTAAGGCAGTTTGCCTCAAACACACCAAAGGATGGACGCCACTGGATCCACAGATAAATTTTTTCAAATATCTTTAGCTTTTAAAAATGCCTCGGATCATCCTGATGTTTCTTATCGTGGGTTCTTCATCATTTTTAATCTTATTTCACGGTTTCAGAACCAGTAATTCAACGATACTATTTAAACAGTACTGGGAAAAAATTCACAATGACTAGAGTAAAAACGTATTTCATGCTCGAGGTTGCATGTGATAAGATGCGCGTTATTAATAAGATACAATGAATCATTTAACATCTAATCTGAAGTCTTCGCTTCATACGAAGATATTACATTAAATATAAATTAAGAAAATGCTTTTACTGTGCATAATATCTGCGCTCGAAGACCATGTTCAAAATCATGCGACATCTATTGAACTGTAAAGACATTGTATGAAAGGTTATTCAAGGAACAGTGAGAAAGAAAAGAAAAATTTCATCGACGGCGGCCATTTTTGGCAGGTAACTTCTTACAATGATACAAATTCATAAATTGTCAAAACTACGCTAAAATGCGAATTTACGAATTCGTAGATGCCAAGAACCCATACCAAAAATACCAAGCGTCGGTATATACGTTTCATATTTTCGGTATGGAAAAATACTGACGTTTGGTATTTTCGGTGCATACGGATAAATACAGATGCTTCGTATTTTCGGTACGCGTAAATACTGACCTTTGGTATTTCCGGAAGGCTCAGCTGTGTACTGTGAGTATATGAAGATACGAAAAGAGAAAAATATCGATAGAAAAGCATACCGACTCAGTATTGGTATATACCGACGTTTATACCGATACCGAAAATACCATACGTGGGTATATACCAATACTTTTCTACCAATATTTTCTGCTCACAATACACAGCTGAGTTTTTTTTATGCGTTCTGCCTACGTAGGACGTTAAAATACAGGCTAAAATACCTCATTTGAAATGCAAAAGCCAAAAGGGTAGCCTAAAATAATTTTATTTGTGAAACAGTTTAAGGGCACAACGTCGGTGTATGCTCATACCGAAAATACTAAACGTCGGTATTTACACATACCGAAAATATCAAACGTTGGTATATATCGATACTTTTCGACCGATATTTTTCTCTTTTCCTATCTGCATATGTTCAGAATACACAGATGAATGTTTTTTATGTACTGTGCCTGCGTAGGGCGCTAAAGTATCTCATTTGAAATGAAAAAATTCAAAAAGGTAGTTTAAAATGTTTTTGTTTGTTAGACAGTTCAAGCGCAGTCAGCGTCGGTGTATACCGATACCAATAATACCAAACGTAGGTGTATACGTATACCGAAAGAGCGATACGGAAAATACCATTGAGTATATATAATTTCTCTCCACATGTGTCATAACGTGTAAATCTAACCAACGTGTGAAAGGTTTCTGTATATATTTGTAATGAACTTTGAAAGTTCGAAGGTTTAAATATTTGTTTGAATTTAATTACATGTATTTTAATAAAATGGAAATTATTGCTGTTACGTTCTTATGTTTATTAAAGAAACAATCTTCAAAAATAATCTTTTTCTCATTATTCGAATCCTTTTGCCGACTGTATTTGACTAAAAATAAAAAACACAAATGGTTTATAAGCTATAAAAACTATATAAGAAAAGAAACAGAGTGACAAAGATTTTTTAGAGCTATTTGTAGCAAAAATGAGAAATACAATAGACAAAGTCCAAAAAAAGATCATGTAGAAGCGAATGGACACAAAAGAAAAACGAACATGGTTACACATCCAGTGTATAATAAATAATATAAAAAATACTGTATTCTTTAAAAGAATAAATAATAAAAGGTCTGTGAGCTATTATTGATCACCCTTTTGTTAAAAAAACAAGTAAACCATACCACCGAGATTCTTTTTTCATAAATGCGTTTGAGATTAACAATTTTCGTTGATTTCATCATCTCTAATGTACGAAAATAAATACTTAAAAAAGAAATATTTGAAAAGCGTTTTTTCTCTTACTTTTGAGTAGAATCAGATTCGTTTTGGGATTGTGATGTTGCTGTATATTCATTTATTGGTATTATTTCACCTGAAAAGAAAAATTATTAATCAGTCTACTCTACACATTCAGGTTAAATTTATTTTCACTTACCATTGCAATTTCTCTTACGCGGTTTGGTGTTCGAAGCCACTACCTTATGAGTTGGATATGTGCCTAAAAAAAGGGAAACAGGTTACATCGTTTAGTGATCGTATTTGACATACTGTCAACAAGGTTACTTACTTTCTGTCATCTTATTAGATATGCAATAGCATTCCGGATCCTGGTCGCATAACAGAACGCATAGTAACCAGAAATCCTTCAGCTCAAGTTTTAAAGAGCCGGCTGAGTCTTGAGTTTCATCACCATAGAGAAATAATTCATGTGTATTTAAATTGAGCAACTTTTTTAGTGGTTGATGTCGAAGGTCAGGTAAACCATTTTCATTGACCACACAGATCTTAACACTAAAAAGTAATAATTAAAAGATTTAATCAAGTTTTCGTACAAAAATCCCTATATAAAGATTCCAGTAAAATATACGTTACACAGTGGACATTCAGATGGACATTTAGCGAAAAATCGAAAGTGCGGTTTTTTAAAATTAAAATAGTGGCAAATATACTTTGATAGATGGGCTATCTAATGGTGTAAAAATTTTTCTTTCGAATGAGGAATTTTCGGGTAAAAAATGTTGAAGAAAAACTACCTCGTATATCCGTGACCTCTATGTAAAATCAATTTTTTATTGAACTGAATTATATTTAAATTTGCCAAACGGGTTATTTGGAATCAGGCCGCTTGAAGCTATCTACTGGTTAAAAAAACGTTCGTCTCAGATTAGGTCTTTTAGCGAAAAAGAGCCTTTTGCCAAACGAGGCGATTTTTCCGAGAGCTATGTTCACTGTAATGTGTTTCCGAAAATTTTCGAAGCTCCAAATTCATTGAAAATTTCACAGAATGTGCACATAGCCTGAATCTGTGGCGATAGCAGTTTTATGCAGTTTTTCGGCTAGATCGAGATCTAGGTTGTCCAGGTATTTTACATTTTCCTCAGCCGAGAAACACTTTTATTGAAAATTAATGTGATATTTGGAATCAGCATGAAAAACTCCATCTAATGATGCATAATTTGTTAATTTTACAAATAAAAAATCTTTTAGAAAAGGGAAGGACTTTTTTACCGAAAAAGATTTTTTTCGAATACGAATTTTTTTACTTTTATTAATGTCTGACGCATAATAAGACCATATTATGCGAAAATAATCATTTTTTAACTCAAAAAACCAGATGTCTGCCTGTTTTATGGAAAAGTGCCCACTGTGCTTTAAGTGCTCTAAATAATCTTTTGTTTGCACAAGCGAAGATGAAAGTTTTCGCATCTGCTGAATTGTCACAAGAAACTTTTACAAAAATTACCCAATAAAACCTTATTTGACCTCTTCTTTTGATAAAACAACTTGACAAGGATTGACGAGAGGTGCGTTACGATCTTTTAAATTTCTTAATATTCTTTTTGCAGGATGCATATAAACCATTCCAGTGGAGTCATCTATGCATACGATATACCAATTAATTATCCAATTTAAATAATGAGAAATACTTGGAATATCAATCTAAATGTATCAAAACGATAAAAATCATTCTGTCCAACATCTAAAGTTATAATTAAATGACAACCAGCTAATGTGCATATAATTAACTAGTAAAGACAAATCATCAATTGTACAAGTCAGGCATGCCGGGGGCTTTAACATACACATTATCACGATAGACAAGGTGATAGATATAAATGAACAAGAAAACAAATTGTTTTCGACGATGCCAATAGAACAATAGGTGATTTAGATCATGTAATACAACAGAAATGTCTGTTCATTTTTTCTTTTATTGCCTCGAGATAAGATGATTGATTGCTATATTCCATCGCTTTAAGAACCATTAGAAGCAGCCTACACCACTCAGTCGATGTTCGAAATTTTTTTATAGGAAGGTGTAACATATCTAAAGATTCTCGAAATTTTTTGGTCGAGGTTGCTTCCTTCAACGGTGATAACTTATCATAGGCCTGTGACAGTAGGCGGTTCCCGTTCAATAAACGGGAACAGTTTTTCAGTTTCCGTTCTGAACTAGGAACGGTTCAGCAATTCTGCTTCCTGCGAACGGGAACTACAGTTCTTTTTGAACCGGAAACTGTATGAAATATTTGAGCTTCTTTTCTAATCTACTAGCGTATCTTCTATTCATATAGTGTAGTGAAATTTTCTTTTCCTTCCAGTTTATAAAAAGAAAGATACAGGCGCACATGACCTTTGTACATAACTATAGAACCTGGACATAATGTAGATGGTCTATTGATCTTTTATGTCGATATTCTTTACTCTTTATTTTCATTTTTATTCTCTGATCTTTACAACCAATGTTTATGACACATGCGTAAGAAAATGGCGTAACAAGAAATAAGAAAAAGAAAAGCACTGGACGTTCTAAGACTTGAATACTAAGTAAAACAGTTAGAGAGAGAAGAATATAGAAAATGCTACACTGGTAGCAGACAAAAACTACTACATCATATCACGAGTTGAACTTCTCCAACACACGTTTTTGAACTTAAACAGTATATCAAGATCTTAAGAAGTAACGAATTAAATTCAATCAGCAAAGTCTACCACCTAATCCTGGAGTCTCTTTGAACATATCTCATCCAACGCTCACTCTTTCAAAATCTTATGTTTGTGAAATGAAATACATAATATATGAACAAATCACAAAAGGACACTGAGCAGTTTCCAGTTTAAAAGAAACTGTAGTTCCCGTTCGCAGGAAGCAGAACTGGTGATCCGTTCCTAGTTTCTAGCAACGTGAACTGCTGAACTTTTTCTAGTTCAGAATGGGAACTGAAAAACAGTTCCCTTTTATCGAGAAACTGCAGTACAAAGAACTAAGAACTGTCACAGGCCTGATGATAACACTTCTACAAAAAGCCCTAAAAATCGTTAAAAACGCCATCTAAAGAAAAGCGTGTTTTGTAACCGTCATATTTCGGTCTAGGATGCATACACAACATTGAAATTTGGAACATAAGCAATTGGGTTGAGTACTATCTGTAGTCAAGAGCATGTGCATATCCGATATTATATATTTACACTATAACAGGAATTGATCTTACACTGTACTAAGGTTATAGTTGCTGAAAATTGAAACGTCTCATGTAAGTGGATATCTGCGGGTGAAAATATAGACTTGTAGGAAGGATAAAAACTACAAGAGGATAAAAAGAATAAAGTAGACTAAAAGGACAAGGAGAAGGATAGATGCATCGGCAAAGTTATTGTGCCTGGATAGAGGAGGAAGGCAAGCAGCGTGAGAGTGAGTTTGAAAAGTAGTTTCAATCAGCATTCTGTTCCACGAGTAGGATAAAATTATTGATATCACATTAAAGCGAACTCAAATGCAAGACTTAATGACAAGCAGCTTCGGTGATAATATCATATATTTGTGTGTTTCAAAAACTCGCAGAACTTGAAAATTTTTTAAACATCTCTTTCGAAAACTCGGAAAAATGTCGAGTAAAGTTTTGGGAATCTTTCTAAATATGTGACACCTTTGTATGATAAAAATTTGAGTGAAAAAGTCGAATATCGATTGAGTGGCGTATAGGCAAATCGGTCGTTCTTTCTGTGCAATGACTCTTTATTATCTGTGTGAAGTAATTAACTTTTCATGAGTTTTGTAACAGAATGTAAACATTGACATAAACTGTTAAGTTATTTTGGAGGAAAAATATGCCTCAATTAGGAATTGAACTCATCACATTGAATAAAAGTAATACTTGCTCATATCACTTATGATATTTACATACTTTTAAAACAGGATGTTTATCTGACTTTGATGATGATGATGATGCTGTTTGAATATAAAGTTGTCGAGCGTTTCGTGCCCTGAATTTAAAGTATGATATTCAGATATAGTAAAGACAAAGATTATAGTCGCACTTCTGCATACATACTTTTTTTTGGGCTTTTGACTACCAAAAATGTCTGATTTTCCCTGTCGTTTTTGCGTTAATCGAACATTTACATGAAATTCGGCTTGGGCCTTTTGTTCTAGAAAAATAAGAGTTCAAAATCAGAAGTCAATAGATCCTTTAGTTACTTACTAATGTACTCAGAGTTAGATAAATCATCGCCATCCGTGTTGTTGTTAGCTGGAAAAAAAGAAATGCTTTTAATCATTGTAGACATGAGAGTACTCTTTAAAGACACACTAACCTTGACAATCTTTTGTAACAATCATAGGTGATGAAGTTATCTCTATTTCGTTTCCATTCCAGACTAGAAAATAAAATATAGTTTAAACTTTACTAATACAAAATAACGCGCTCGTTTTATTCATGGAGCTTCAAAAAGGATATTGCCTTCTTGACCTACAAGTGTAACTTAGACGGTAAACCATTTAACTGATATTCATATACAAAGGTCACGCATTTCTTACTCCTTTTTCTAATAATGTACATGTATATGGATTAACTATTTTATCGTTCAAATTGTACTTTAATGTCTGAAGAAGGCAATATTTTTGTCTAAACGCTGCGAATAAAATAGTAATTTCATAAAAAAGAAGAATATAACAAAACTTCAACTAACAACGATCTTCTTGACAAAATATCAAGTCTTCATTCAATCATCTACTATTGCAAAGATAGAAAAAACATAAGTATGAGAAGAAAGTAGCTCATGGAAAGAAGTATGCATTTACGAAGTCGATAAACTTAAAATCTGAGGAACTACATTGAATTCAAACAGTCTGAAGAATACAACGATTAGAAATAAAAGACGTCTCTGTATTACATTCTGCGCATACCAAAAGGCATATCTGACTGTTCTGACGATATTGATGGTGATACCGCTATAATAGGAGCGGATTTTTTGTAAAATAACATGTAGACGCTTTCTTGTAAATTCAAATCTAATTTTAGATTACATTTAGTAATTATCGAATCATCCGCTTTGTACCAAAAATCATCTTGATCTTTAAAATATGTAATATAATGACCACTTGATAAATCACTCCCTTCATGACATAATATTCCATATAACGAGTAAGTCCAATCATTCTCTACTTTAAACTCATCATTTGCGTATGGCTTATCTAAATCTAATATTTCATCAAAATGAATGGGAGAATTCAACTTATGCGTTGTATTTTGATTATCTACACGAAAACGCTTGAACAAAATAACGAGTATTTCTGGGAATGTCTCTAAATTCGTCTGCATTTCACTATGTTGTAATTTGCCGCATTGATCACATTCATATGCATTGGTGCCTCTAAGCCATTCTATCTGACAAAATTTGGCGAGCAAATTTCTCAAATTGCCCAATGTTTCGCCCAACGCTAGTTGTAATACTGTATGATTTTCGACATGAGATGACACTTTTTTACATACTGTACATGTGACGGTTGTTCTTGTGCCAAATCCAAATATTTCTCTTATTTTTCTTGTACCAGATCGATCAAAACATTTAAATATACCCTGCAATAATTCGCTTGAATCTTGTTTCGTGTTCACTTTATAGTTTGGTAACAACTCATGTAAATTCTTGATAAAATCAGAGGGTAATAATGGTAATGATGATTTGATCATTCTTTGAAAAAGGGTTTTAAATGCACGTATTATACAAAATCCGACTATTTTACCTGAAACAAACCAGAATGAGAAACAATTTAAAAAATATCTATATATTAAGAGAATGAAAAGAGGTGAGAGGAAGAACATTTATTATTTTTAAACAGTTTTAGCAGCTATTATGGACCGAAGCGCGCTAATAGAATGTCAAAACAATTTCGAAAAACATCTTTCTCTCTTTGATCTATAAAATGGTAGCAGTAAGAGCTTTTGTCACATAACTAGTTTGTTTTTAAACAGAAAATATATTGCTTTAAAACTGATAGAAGTCAATAAAAACCTCTTCTCGTTGACATAATTATAAAGATGAAAAATAATGAAATACAAAAGTATGAAAGTTTTGCTTTCTCTTCCATATCACTAGTGCATTTAAAAACTTTTTAAAAGAATATACAAGGATGATATTTCCAAAAATGTAGTAAACTTTTACTTGATGGTTCATCCTCTTTCATTGACTGATCATTATCACCAGGAGGATCTAATTTGAAAGATAAAGTGTATTAATTCATGAATAAAATTGTCATACGGTGCTTTCTTTACGTACTAATATTCTGTAAAAATGTAGAAGAAGAAAGAGTACCGGATTTCTGGGAAACCAGGTTTCCAGAGTCAGAAACTTTTTGTTCCAAAAAAATTTTCTGATCTTTCTCGATTGTAGAGCACATCGAGAAACCTATAAAAAACTAGTTTTCAGAATTCTGGAACCCTTCCACAGCCCATCAGACGGACTTTTCTTCTCTTTTCCGTACGGTTTTTTGAGGGAGCCTGTAGCTTTGTAAAACCTTCAAAAACACTTTAAAAAACCCCAAAACTAGTTTTTTATAGCTTTCTCAATGTGCTCTACAATCGAGACAGATCAGAAAATTTTTTTGAAACAAAAAGTTTCTGGCTCTGGAAACCTGGTTTCCCGGAAATCCGGTACTCACAAGGTCTAGCGGCCCGTCTCATGCCGATATTCGGATTCAGTACCATTTTTTTTACCTATACTCCACTAGATTTCATTAAAAAAAGATTGGTCAGTTAGATATGTTCCCTCGTCAGACCAATGACCTTGGAATAAAGAACAACAGTTTATTACATACTTGTATGAGAATGTTTAACGTTGAGAACAAATTCCATAAATAAATGCGTGTGAAGTAACGCTTGCAATACTGCATTAAGAAAACACGTATTTTTGCCGTTCTTTAAACCACATAGAACGGATATTCGTCCATTATTACCTACAAAGGAGTACAAAGAACATTTGTGAGTAAAATAAATCCTAATTCAAATTACTTGTTTTAACTATGACTGTCACAAAAAGTAGTTTATATGTGAAACTTGTCAATTATTCAATCCGTATAAACTCTTTAAAAAACCGTGCTTTTATTGTTTTTTTAAGAAAAACAATCGCTTTCCTTACATTTAAACGATTCTCACTAGATACTCCCAACTAATAGTTTTCTACAGACACGTACAAAGTATAAAACAAAGAACTAAATGCACAGACAAAACACCAATAAACATCTACTAACAGGGTTAAAGTGACATATTGCATTTGTACATGCTTTATTTATTTTTTGTGTTAATATATGGATTGACGCTGATGGTTTATCATTTTTATAACGGATTATGCACTTTGAATATATGTTACTTAAAACGAAATTTATTGGATGAAAAAATTAAAAACGCCAAAAAATTTCTAATTTAAAACTTTACTTCATTAAATAAATTCACTCAATAAATTTCGTTTTAAGTAACATATATGCATCCGCTAATGATTGCATCTTTTTAATCATACAACAATCGGTCAGTCCTCGTATCAGATCTCAGTCATTACTTTTCCTACACCCCAATCAAAATACAATAATAGCATATTATATATATTACAGGTTATATCAAAGCTATACTTCTAATACTGTCTGTAAAAAAAAATGAGAATGGTGTGAGCAATTCTTGAGTAACTCGAGAGCAAAACGTGGTAGGGGCCGACGATTTTAGCCATTCGATAGAGACTTTAAAGTATCTTTTCATAACCTAAACGCTTCTGAAATTATTTTTTAAAAGTCGGATTTATGAGGAGTCTCTGAAAAATCATTTCATAATCCGAAAATTTAACATAGTAATATATTAGTTTATTCATGGATAGATAATCCAATGTGTCCTCTTCAAAATGGGAAATAAGCAACCGGTCATACCACTCTTATTTTTTTACAGACAGTACTCGCGATTTGCCTTTTCACCAACATATTAACTAATGTAAACCAAAAGCAAACGTGCGCATACCTGAAACTTATGTTATGACTAAAATAAAATATTAAAAGGAAAAGGCTTTTATATTTTGTCTGAATCTCATATTAGGGTAGAAAAGTGTTCTTAGTCTCTCTTGCGAAGCTTAACGAAAACGAAGAAAAGTCTTATTAAAGCAACTGCATATTTTGCAGCACTGATCCACAACATTTTAAGATAACTGAAATTTTGCATTGCATATGTTGAACTCATTGATATAAGCGAAAGGAGTACTATCTGTTAGCTCAGATTCATGATGCTATACTCAAAAACTTTGAGAAACATAGGAGCAGCGTGATAGGAACGTAGACCTTTTTGATGAGGTTCAAACAATAATTTCAGAAAAACGCTAACCGCTGGTTTCAGTTTTGCTAGCGAAAAATTCATTTTTCTCTAATAAACACATGACATTAGAGAAGTCCTTCTATTTTAGCTAAACTTTACATCACTTAGCTTTGGAAGCAGATCCGCTACGAAGATCTTTATTTGTAAAAAGAGTCAGAGGACTGAGAAATATTTAAAATAATAAACAAGGATGATATTTCCAAAAATGTAGTAAACTTTTACTTGATGGTTCATCCTCTTTCATTGACTGATCATTATCACCAGGAGGATCTAATTTGAAAGATAAAGTGTATTAGTTCATGAATAAAATTGTCATACGGTGCTTTCTTTACGTACTAATATTCTGTAAAAATGTAGAATTGGCAAACGGTTTAACATTACTATGTTGAATAATGAGTTTTTCAGCTAAAACAATAGACAGAAAATAAGTCTAATATACACATATGGTTTTGTTTGTCTGCTTCGCTTCACTCGGAAATTGACAAATTGCTTTCATATCTAGAATTAACGTTCTGTTTGTGAAATATTTTATTAAACTCATAAACTGTAATTTCTTCCTCATACGCCCATTTTAGTGAAGGATACAAATAGATTTTTTTTCTCCTGAAATACATTTAGAGTAATAACATACGTTGATTGGTTGATCGTACCACAGGCGAATCGTGAGAAGATATCCCACTTTCTATATTTGTATCAACTAATCTACTATTAACATTTTCTTCCAATTCTTGACGACGATTATCAGTTATGTTTGCCGCATCTCGTAAAATGTCGGATGACGTAGATTTGACTACTGAACCTTAAAGAAATTGAAATTATGAAAGCATGAACAAGGTAAACGGTGCTCTCACTTCGACTAAAAGGTGGAACGAAAAAAAAGTAAATTTTTTACAGTATCGGTCAACGATTATAACTTATTTTCTCTTGTGTACAACATATCTTTTCTGTTTGATGAGATTAATTAAACAGGGAAATATCAAGCTATAATATCCTTTTTATTAGCAAAAAGTAAACTTCTTTATCTCCAGCCTGTTTATCATTATTATTTCTATTTTCTGCTGTAAACCATGCGTATAACAGTCTTTTCCTTCGCCTCCATGATCGAATACCGAATAAGACAAGCTACAACGTTATTATTTGTCTCTTCAGCCGTTCAAGTGAACCCGTCTCCTTCTTGATCAAGAATATCAGTGATTTAATATTTTTCAGTATTAATTTCGTCAAAAAATTACACAAACAGATGTTACTTGTTGATATGTCGAAGTACGAAATTCTTTTCAGTTTTAAACACCAGACTTCTTCGGATTTTACAGGTGGTGTTGGTGAAAATAATTCATCTAATAACTGTTTGTACTTGTCAAATGTTTCTTCCGTTAGATCAAGGTCTTTCTTGTATTGTCGATCATAAAATTGAATTTCCGCAACATTATAATCAATAGAACACCGACGTTCGTATGCTTCCTGTATTTTTCGCTTAATATTCACAATACTATCATCTTTTTCAACACTAATAATTTTAGAAGATAAACCAAAACTGACAACAACCTCAATCGACGAAGTCATCTAGAACACAGAGAAAATCACAAGTGATGAACTTTTCTATATTAAAACCAGCTTCTATGAAAAAAATTCGAATAACTGAACATAGCGTCTAATACCTAAAGTTCTAGTACGAGCTTGTGCTCTGCCCCGTACGACTGACAGCGAGGGGTGCTAGTGGATAAGGGAGCACACATCAACGTCTTGACGTGCTGAATATTGTCACACAAACAAAATCGGAATACAGTTTCGCTTGAGAATGTGAAAAAATATAAATTTCTTTCTAAATTTATTATATCAAATGGAAAAAGTCAAAAACACCGGTTCTAGTTATGAGTGTTCTGCGATTAAACCATACCTGAATGCAGTTACTCATCATCTTCAACATTAAATGTATTTTTATAGCCTTGAGGAGAGTGTATATCGAAAACGTCTAATACCATAGCAATGGTACCTCTTGGCCGTTAGATTCATAATTAAGTTCGAGAGGGTTTAGCTATTCCTGATTCTTTTCTACGGCAGAGCAAAGTGTTAGCATTACAGCTACCGTTAGAACCGTCAGTAGAAAACTGTATGTCCCCTTGACTTTAGTGGTCTAGGGTCTTAGAAAATGCGGTTGTCTATGTGTGCGCAAAATATGGAAAAAAGGATATAGATATTCCATGGATAATTACAAGAGAGAAAAAAATAGAAAATTCTTTTTTCCCTTGACTTTAGTCTAGGGTCTTATAAAATGGTTGTCTGTGTGTCACACACACACAAATGACTCATGGGAAGCTAAAATCACTTTTTCACCATTGAGCATTTTGTAACTTGAGCCTCTACGACAAAATAGCTTTAAACAGAGCTTTTAAAGTTAAAAATATGTTTTAGAATAAAAATCTAGTTATATTTCGGCTGAAAACTATATTTTCAAAACTATACTACAGATGACGGTAGCGTACTACTGCAGATCAAGCACACCTTTATATGTAAAAGTATAACAGCACAAGTCGACAATCTTGAGATCATTTCTGACAGAATCTTGATTTCAGGTCAATCTTATCAGATTCTGACCCTGCACAATCAATAATAAGATTCAGATTAGAATGACCTGATCTGAAAATTTTTTCAAGATTCATGGTCACTGATTCGTGGTAAGAAATCAAGATCAGTTCATTCTGGTCTGAATAAGGAGATTGTTTGAAAAACACTGATATCTCAGTAACGGCTTTTGGCTAGAGAACTCTGAATATACATTATAAAAAGTCTTGATATCGGCTATAATATGTATTAGAATAAGTCCCGCAAAAATGAGTCTCTTTTTTAATTTCAAGTGTATTGGTGAGTATCCAACTGGCTTTTGATTGTACGAGCCATGGTCGTATGACTACACACCATCAGATTCTGACTGAAAATCTAAAAAAAATGCATTTCTCAGGAAGAAAGTACGGAAATCAAGATTCCGTCAGAAATGATCTCAAGATTGTCGACTTGTGAGAACAGAAAAGAAATGTTATTGGATTTAATATTGATCGATAAAGATGCTGATTTAAAAGTGAAACTTTCACTTTTAAATCTGTACGGTCGTCTAGTAGACGACCGTACAGATGTGTGTCGTAGATGGTGATAGTGTATATATTTGACATATGTACATTAAGAGAAACAGAACAGAAAGTTTTATTTGTAGATTACTGTAGGATTTCAAATTTTATTTACCAATCGTTGCAATTCTCACGACAAGATTCATCCGGTGCTGCTGGTAAAAGTTTTAAATTCTGCGGTAATCGAATTGTGCTTTCTTGTGATGCCGTTAACTGATGAATTCGTCTTGCATTTAATTTGTCCAGATCTTCTATTTTACATTGTACATTGCCAGTAGCCATCATCGAGAATGTATTGGATATTTGATTTTAGGAGTGTCACTTTCAGAAAAATCATTTGCTTTATATACTCTTTGGGATAAACAGTCTGTTTTCCTTTGAAATTAGTAGTCAAACCTTCTGTTTTATTCATAAAAGTTGAAGAAAATTCTTCTCATTTGCAGTAAACTTATCAGCCTTTGAAGATATTCCATTCTTCTGATATTTGTTAGACTTCTTGTACTTAGTTTTGATCTTTTGATTACATTCATCTCGTGCTGTTGTAAAAATTTGAAATCCTACAGTAATCTACAAATAAAACTTTCTGTTCTGTTTCTCTTAACGTACATATGTCATATATATACACTATCACCATCTACGACACTCATCTGTACGATCATCTATTTCACCTTTAAATCAGCATCTTTATCGATCAATATTTAATGCAATAACATTTCTTTTCTGTTCTGTTATACTTTTACATATAAAGGTGTGCTTGATCTGCAGTAGTACCATCGAATTGATATTTTCTCATTAGAAACATGTCAGGGGAAACACATACCCAGGTGAAAAACGAAATCCGAAGGATCCGTTTCATTTGGACTGACCAAATTCCGTTCAATTTCTGTTCTTTCCGTTATATTCCAATGTCTGGAACTAAGGTTGATTCGATCACCGGGGGCCTGTTTCTTAAAAAAACTTAAGTGAATTTTCCTACTTAAGTTTTCACTTAACTTAAGTGAACTAAAAAGTATACTTAAGTTAAAAAATATTGTATATTTTTTGCTGTGTTTGATTGCGTCAAAGAAGTTTAAACAAAAAAAAGTTTAGAAAATGGCTTTAATTGCTATATTAACAACAAGAGCATTGAGACGAGAATGTGTTTATTTCGATCGTTCAAATCCACTGGATTTTATGACAGAAAAGCAATTTTTAGCACGTTATCGATTTCCAAAACAAGCAGTATTAGATTTATTAAATGAAATTGAACCTCATCTTCAACGTCCAATCTCTCGTAATCATGCCATACCTCCAGTTTTTCAAGTTTTAACGGCGTTACGTTTTTATGCCAGTGGTTCGTTCTTTTATATGGATGGTGATGTGCATAGATTATCTAAAACATCTGTTAGCAGAATAGTGTTTCAAATATCATCGATTTTTGTAAACTTGTCTATTTTTTGGGTTAAGTGATGGACTAGATCCCTCACATTTTAGAAGCGTGGTTTGGGACAGGTTTTTGACTTCAGAATTGATCAAACACCATTTTCATATTGAGTTTTTAACAGTGAATCAGAAAAACAACTTTGAAAAAGTTAGAAGAATAAACAAGACGAAAATTTGAACTTTATTGAAACTGAAGGATTTTTCGACTTTGTTACGACCTGTGAGTATTTTCGATTTTTCAACGTGAAAAAATTGTTTTTAAAATTATAAAATACATTTTCTTAATCAGTTCGATGAGCTCTGCCGAATCATGTATAATAAGTTAGAAAAAATTTTTGCTTGATTTTGGTATTACGTGCACCTCACAAAATTCTTTAAATAGATTAAATTCAAATGTTTAATGAATAAAGAGAATTGTGTGCTAGCTGTGTTTGAGTTAATTGTTGCAAATTAGTTGCAATATCTGTCAATGATTTTGCAATTTTACCTAATGCTTCATTTTGTTGATATTGGCACACTAGCATTTGTTCTTCTATTTCAAATTTTTTCTTTTCAAGTTCCATTAGACTGGGAATATAACCTTTGTCTTCTTTTTTCTTTTTCAAGGAAACTGGACGATCAGAGGAACGTTCATCTTTTTGTAATTCTTCTAAAAATTGTCCCGGTTCAAGTACTTCACCTTGTTCAAATGATGATTCAGTGTTTTCGTCGTTATCTATTTCACATATTGGTCTTTTTGGTCGAAGTCCACTATTATTTGACAACAATTCATTTGATAATCTCGATAATCCAAGCGGTGTTCTAGTTGTTGTTGACGATGAGAATGATGGTTGCGACGTTGTAGTTGTTGTGGACGACGAGGATGATGGTTGCGTTAACTTAGATGATGAAGACGATTGTGTTAACTGTGCTGTTGTAAATAAATCATTTTCTTGTAAATTATATTGACTATCTGTATCGACACCATCACTAATTCCAGTAACACTTACTTCTCCTAAGCGAAATGGAATAAAAAAAATGATATTAGATCCCTATGCGATTTTAACAGAAGCGAAATAGTAAGTAAAACAAAAACGAAGAATATCTCATTCAATTTATTTTTTATAAGATGCTATCTCTACATCTCTTGGTTAGCAAACAAATTATTCATAACCAAAGAATCACATTTTTTTAAAGTAGATAATTATTAATTAGATGCTGAAATGTAATGAACGACACATTCATACATTACCGAGAAGAGCACTTGCTCTCTCTTCGAGAGGAGTAAGGCCTGATCTGGCCGGTCCATCCCCTGTTTTGTTTGCTTGACGCTTCAAATCCGCTGCTTTTTTTTTAACATCAGAACTGTAAAAAGAACAAAGGCAAAGCCAGTAAGAAATAAGGTGTGGGGTAGTAGGCGACTGCTCACCTGTAATTTCCCCATTTTTTTTAATTTCCTCGGGCGTCCGTTCGCAACCTCCCACTGCCGAAATTGCTTCAGCAACTTTTGCCCATGCATGTTGTTTACGGGCGTGACTGCCGGCAGACCCAGTAAATCTGCCCAGCAAAACCTGGGCGTTATCAGATACATTTTCGACTAATACGCGAAGCTCCTCATCAGTGAAGTTTTTGGATCGTTTCTTGTCGTTTTTTTTTTCTTTTATTTCAATAGGCATCTAAAGAGCGAAAGAATTTCGAAGAATGCCTAGTTCTATTGTTTTCTCCTGGCAAAATTAATCGAAGAAAACTTTATTTGAAATAGGTCGACTCTTTCACATAACCAACAAACTGTACAGAGAATAAAAATGAGAGAAATCTATGATTTCTTTTTTTTAAAAAACATTACATTCAGTCAATCAATCAATCTTCGTCATCCATTGACGCATCTTCTTTGACTTAATCGCTCAAATCTTGTTCAACATAATCTAGATCACCATGATAATTAATTGAAGATACTTGTGAATATTTTTCATTTTTTTTCCCTTGATGGTGCAACACAATCATCTAATGTTTTTTATATAATAATACCTTCTTCATCAACTAATCTTGAATCTGCTGCTTGTTTCTTAATAATATTTTCATATTCATTATCTTAGTTTCTTAAGGCCCACCCCCCCCTCTAAATTTTTTTTTCCCCAGAACACTCAATCTTACTGAAATTTTTATTGAATATGTATCTGACCATTGATAGTTCTCAGTATAAATTTGAGCTCATAATATTGAGTTTTTTGCGAGTTATTGTAACATCAAGGGTCAAAAAGTAGGTGTCCGTGTGTCAAAGATTTTGTTTCCAATTTTAATGATACGGACCTCGGGATAGTGTCAAAATGTAGAGAATACCTACCCCTACAACCTAACAAAGCCGGATTTTTGAAGAAAAAAAAAATTAATTTTTTTAGACAGTTTTTTCGAAAAATCTAGATTAGTTTTTTAGAAAACTGGAGTTTTTTGTAAACAAATAAGTTGAAAACAAAAATTCCGGCTTTGTTAGGTTGTAGCGCTGATATTTACCTTCATTTTAAAGCCTTCCCGAGCTTTCTAACATTTAAAATGGCGGAGAAATCTTTGACACACAGTCAAATAAAACGAAAAAAAACAGTTTCGAGAAAAACGAAAAACAATTTTTTTCTTTGATTATTTTTTGATGCAGGGGTCTTCAGAAAAACCGTTGTAAAACCCTCAAAAACCATCGAAAACCCAATAAATTATAGTGCATTCGAAAGTAGAGATGATGGGCTATCTAACTATGTATAAATCTAAAAATCGATATTTTTGTCAAAAATTCTTTTTTTTTGAGAGGGGGGTGGGCCTTAACGTTTTCGGTACGTCACTCAGAAAATATAGGAAAAAAGCACCAACAAAGACTTTAATTCAATTAAACTCTGTACATTTATACGCATCTCTTAACTGAGGGACGTTTTGTCGCTCTTTATTCTGTACGTGTTACAGCACAAGCTCATTTATGACTCTTGACAAATTGCGTTAATAAAGGTTACGAGAAGCTCGCCATCAGTAAGACGGAAAGTTCAAAAGATGCAAGTTTTTTTCTATTTTCACCACTTTCTTTTTCCGATCCAACTTTTCCGATTATTACCTAGCCATGACGGCAACCTTAGTGCCTCCTTCCATATTAGTGAATAAATTTCTCGCATTAATGCACCCACATAACTTAAGTAGAAATTTTCTTCTTAACACTAAGTTGCACTTAAGTTATCGTTCGAGAAACACACTTAAGTCAAAACTTAAGTTTGACTTAAGTATGACTTATTTTTTCACTTAAGTTTTGACTTAAGTCGATGACTTAAGTTTTTTTAAGAAACAGGCCCCGGATCCTATGACTGAACCGTTCGAATCTGATGGTCGGAAGTGAACGGATTCATCCATCTATTGCTCTTTCGTTTCTCTCGTTTTTTTTCTTTCCTTTTGCTGGGTAAATAAATTCACCGATTTGTTTCTGGGTGTTTTTAGTATAAATACGATACTGTAGAATATGCAACAGATTTCTCGAAGTTTTCGCACTGAACAGTGTAGTCATCGCACTGATGGGTTGAAAACTATTTTTCAAAAGTTAAAACATAAGAAAATAACGTTTCTAAAAAGTTGATCCGGTTATAACTCTAGTTGGAGATTATAACCGGAGTTGATAATCATAACTATTTCAACCTCAGTTCAAGCGTAGAATGATATTGTAAGCCGCAGCATCGTGTGAACGTTCATGCTTCGGTAAATCATATGTTGTTTTGATTATATCGTCATACACCAACATTTTCATATCAGCACGATATGAAAATGATAGGTCAAGAGATCATAATATCCGGGTACATTTAGTCAAGGGTAAAATGGAGCAATAATCGATCTGGTTCTATTAGTTTTCTTCTCTAAACTCGAGGTGAACTGTCAATATCGTATTCATTTAAATCAGTATTTAATGACTTAAAAACAAAATCCATCAAATTTATTGTTATATTCTCGTTTTTTTCTTCATCAAATTCAATAAAATCTGCGACTATTCTTGATCTTTTATTCTACTAGAATAAAAGATCAAGAATAGTCGAGTTACCAGTGACTGGTAACTCTTCAATTTATACTGATAATGCATCTAGTTTATTTTAAATGAATTCCAGCCGTTGAAGATGAGTAGCTAGTTTGTCATACACGATATCGCCACGTTTGTACGCATTAGGCACTAGATCACTAACCGAAAACCTTGAGAATATCAGCTGGCACCACTTAATAATTTTTCATCATCGATACAAATAAAATTCTTATTTCGTAAGTGTTAAACTATTAGATGATGAACAAATCAATCTACCTGTTTGCTTTTGAACCATGTTTTAGAAACAAATGATTACTTAAGCATTAAGAATTATATTCAAGTATTAAGCTATATAGCCGCGAGATATATACAGTAGGAGCTTTGCATGCACAGAAGTTTTGGCACTAAAAACAAATTTGCTTCAATAGACAAACAATTTTTGTTTTCTTCCATTTTACAACCCGATTATGTGACGCAAAGAAAATAAAAATTTCATAAAATAAGAACGGAAAAAATTAGGAGAAGCACGATCAGCTGGAGTTCGGACTATCAACCTAAGTTGATAGTTATAACTATTTGAAATTTTTGACCATTTGACCATTGGATTCTGATCCAATCCATCGCGGATCGGGACGGATTTTGTCGAATTCGACACCTTTCGGTGTCTTCCTGACTTAGGAATCCTCCGGATCCTTAGTCAGGAACGAACGACCTGGGTATGAACATTTTGTGGAAGGTTTTCGAAGGATTTTTGCTTACGAGTAAGGTCTTATTACTTGAAATTTATTCGCATTCCGCAACGAATATTAGATTCGCGATCGGTATTATCGATTACATATCACTTCGTACTTTATACGTCAAGTGCGATTTTATCACTCGCGGAGCTTTTCTCGTAAATTATATTCATCGTATGAATAATACATATTCAATGGCTTGTGCAATTTCATGAATAGTGTCAGTCTACAGTGCAGAAAAGGTTACATATATATGTAACTTTTTTTCGTACCGTAGACTGCTTATTGTTTCATGAGTGAACTTCTCCGTTCTTACGTTATATGATAATAGAGCCGTATCAAATAAGGAATATCTCTATCTTTTCACTTCTTGGCAAATGTGAGCAAATGTCTATATAGACATTTGCTCACATTTGCCAAGAAGTGAAAAGATAGAGATATTCCTTATTTGATACGGCTCTACTAACACTTATAAAAATTGTATATACAAACAGACGGCATATTCATGTATATTTATAATCTATCGTAAAAGTTCAACAGAAATAAAAAAAGACTTTTCAGTGCAGTACAATACATCATTCGTCATCATATGCTCATGGATAACGTTGATAATCAAAAGGTGAAAGATGAAACACATCCATTAATATTTATGTCAAACAATGCGAAAACCTTATTGCACCTTTGCAACCATATTGCATTCGGCTTTAATCAGAACTGTTTCGTTCTTAAGGCTATAAAACGAAATATGGTTTAAAGCCTAAGGTAATATATTGATTAAGAAGAGAGGGTCTCTGATAAACTTGACCTCATACTTTGATGGGTTTCTAGAACATATCAAGTTACATATGAGTAGTTTTACCAGGTGACGGGCGCTTTATATAGCATCTCTCAAACTTAGAGGCCTATGGCCACGTTCACACTACAAAAGTTAAATGAGCTAAAACGAAGCTAATTGATCAGAAAGTTAACTCTGAAGTTAAATGATGTTTCGGACATCATTTAAGGGGAGGTAGCGCCAGTTCTGTGGGAAAACAAACATCTGACTCTCTACTCAAATTTTCTGTTTGAGCTTCGAAAGTCAACTGTAGAACGTAAATTCAAACCGGAAGGCTGTTAGAAAGCCGCAACCTAAGCAGCACAGTTTTAGAGGAAATGTCCAAGTCTTATTGGTGTAACTTCAAGTTAACTCTGAAAAAGTTGTAGTGTGAATGCGGCCTATCTCATTCAAGTTTTTTATCGGAAGTAGTAATTAGTAGTATCATTAGTCGGGATGTTCAAAACACTTTTAATGTATGTCCAAACCCATTGCCAAATTTTCTGCGTGACTTGTCTCACCAAACGGAGAAAATAAAACTTTTGTTTCGTTTTTCATACGAAAAAAACGGATCAAAAAGGTTTAATTGTCCTAAATAAAACGCGTTTTAACTCGTTTTTTAGTATGAAAAAACGAAACAAAATTTTTATTTTCTCCTTTTGGTGAGACAAGTCACGTAGAAAATTTGCTAATGAGTAGTACACGTCCAACAGTTTTAAAACTTCGAAAAATAGAGTAAAGTAAACGCGTTTTTTCCATGATCAAATTAAAATAAAATGAAAAATACAAAAACGGCAATTTTTACCAACTTGATGCTTTCTAGAAGTCTCTTCCATGAAATGAAGCCTCCTTATTTATATTTTCAAGTAGTATGGACTTGGCACTATGTATGGTAGACAAGCTGGAGATTTTTAGTTCTCAAGAAATCCTCGTCGAGACGAGGCTGTTTTTCACAAGTATTGAATCACGCGTTGAATCACATATTCTATATTAGTTTTTTGAACAAAGTTTCGCTCGAAAACAGATATCTACAATATCACTGCAAACATAATTAGAGAGAAAATTGGGTTTTCTATGAAAGCCGCCTGAGGAAGTTCAGGAGCAAAAGTTTTATTCGGAATACTTTGATATCAGGCAGGATTTTTGAGCAAAACTGAAAATGTTGACCTCTCCTCGGAAACTGCAGGTGATTTAAAACTTTTTAAGGTGCCGGAAATTTAAAAGGTTAGTGATAAAATGAATCTGGTCGAATTATACATGGTTGGATAGAGCATGTCGAGCTGATCAAGAATATCACCTTTAAAGATTTTTGACGTCAACTGTACAGCAGAAAACTTGGAAAAACGTGAAAAACCGACTGTTTCTGAGAAACCGCATGGTTTCCCCACTTTGCTGACCTCGAACAATTTTCTGCTTATTTTATTTGGATTCAGCATCAAATGCTGAGTAGATCAGAGTGACTTTGAAAAAATTTCAAGTCATCCCTACCACTGACGGCGGACCTCAGACTCCGATTGACACCTCAATCTGGCAAATGTATCTCCTCCCTGGTTTCAACAGTAAACCCATACTATTATATACCATTCAAACCGCCGTTCGACGGGCTACAAAGTTACGCTCGCCTTTTCTCAAAAATGTTTTTTTTGCTTCCCACAAACCACTCTTCTCTTTTTTTTGGCTTTCATTGGTTTTTTTAAACGTGTATTTTCATCTTAAAAATACCTCTGTTCGACAGTGATAGTAGGAATCGACCAAGAAAAAAAAGAGGAAACGTAGACGTCTAATTCAGTTTTGTATTCGAGATTCTTCGATGTGACTGAACATGTGGCTGCCAGAGATTGCTGTAGTAGTACGTGAGAACTTCGGCGTATGTCTTGCCCGCCTTATAGCAACAACATCTGCTCTCTCGTGACCTTCGAAATAAGGGCGCTGT